CCCCAGTGTTCTTCTCGTATGTGGAGATCCTCAGGGTTAGGCTGGGCCCTAGTTAGTCAAGAATATGTTCACACAACTTGGATGACCAGAGACTCCCCAAAACAATGAAACGCCATGACATCACCATGACCTGCCCTTTCCCAGTGTCTACCTGGGGTATTCAAACACCGCGCTTTAAATGCAATGGCCATCCTTGAAATCCTGAGGATTTGATGGAGCTCTTCGATATGATCGATTCCGGCGACGGCCCGGGAGAAACGCCGACGGAGTGTGTCCATCGTGTCGAGCGTGTCCGGTTGGGGGTCGGCCGTCACTGCCGTGCCGTCAGCGTCCTTTGTCGTCCTTTGTGGCGATGCCTGACGTCCGTTGTGTGTTGGTGTTGAACCAGTAACCATTCCGAACCCCAATCGACTTCATTGGGTTGCGCAGCATGGGGCAGATGTGGGAAGAGATGCCTCACAGATCTACCAAACTTTTGCTAGTAGGTTGGAGGCCATTGCTATGCTATTAGGTTCTTCTTGTAGGTTCTTCTACCAAACTTTCGGGAGTTGGTGAAGTCAGTGCGGTTCCCGCAGCTCGAATTCCTAAAAAGACTCACGAGCTTGGAATCCTGGGCACGAAACGAGTGCAGAATGACCACCACGAATTCAGCCATATGCAGATGACCAGACACCCTGGTGGCTGCCCCCACGTTTTGGACATCTCCAGCTTGTAAAAGTGTCCGGACTTCCAACAGATCCGGTACCGCAAAACCGGGCCAAAACCCCTCTTGTCGCAGTCCAGGCAGTTTGTCTGGACCGAAAGAAGGGTTTATATCCACGACGAGTGTCTACCAATGTGACAATTAATTGTTGAACAATTCTTTACCACAATTCTTGTGTGAACCTCGTCAATCCATAAAGCAATAAAGACAACGACTCATAAATCACAGTGATCTGCTCTGACTCTCCCTCACTAGATCGCCAGGGCGCATCGATTGGAAGGAGTTCATGGATGGAGCAGGACGACTCAAAGGACAAGCCAAGAGCATGGCCCCTTGGAATGAACCTATTGGAGACCATCGCTACTAGGAGCGATCGGACGCTACGAACGGGGCTCCTGGCCTTACTACTAGGAGCAAGCACGCTTTTAGTTCCTTCTTGTTACGGAGCCCCGTTCGTAGCGTCCGATCGCTCCGTTCGAGTCGCGATGCCCGAAATGCTCCGCCTGGTTCCAATGGAAGTGGCACCCCGTCTCCACGACGTCACCCCGTCTTCGTCGCTTCCACGAGCATCGTCTCAGGATGTCTTTCGCCTGGAGACAAAGGTCGACACATTGATTAAGTCTTTGACCTTGAGCATGCCTGGGCGCTTTGCACGGCTTCGCTCGTAAATGTGGGCAAGCAGGGAAGATGATTGGCCTCCATGGGTGATCATGTGGCGACGTGGGTATATATGTGGGGTGCTTACGAAGAGTCTTCCGGATTTCGTGTGTTGACACAGACCCACCTAGCCTAGCCGGAGCGTCTATCTCCACCTGTTTCGATTGGAGTGAATCATTTCGAGTGAACCCAAACCCACCAAACCGGGGTGGGGCCACCCTGTTTGCGTGCGGCACGTCTGCTGCTGAGCCCGGTTGGATGGACCATGGATAACGGATGGATCTTCCACACCATCGAGGAGGAAAGATGCAGCAAAACCTCGGTATCCACGATTGAAAGCGTGGCACTTGTTACTAATAGCTTCTTGTTACTACTAGCGAGGCACCTGTTACTACTAGCGTGGCACTTGTTACTACGGTATCCTCAAGATGTTTGAGATCCGAGGGGTGCCATTTTTGCGATGGTTTGAGGCCCTCGCTAGTAGGTTCTGTTTGCTAGGTAGGTCATCAAGACGCAACAAGTTGACATGTTTTCAATCAGCAGGACCTAAACATGCAAGCCTGTAACTCTGTGGGTTTTTCATGCTCTTGAACCTGAGTAACTCCTGTGCGGCTGATTAAGCTGGTTCATGTTTGCAGGGAGACCTAAACATGCAAAGTACCCGCCCGTGGACCTGGGAACGTTTGCTTGAATGCTGATAAGAATCATGTCAGAAAGGATGCAACGTGTGAAAATGAAGGTCAATGCCTTTCTGCAAAAGAACCTGAGACTATTGTTTTGGGGGGGATTATGATTATACAAGCTTGACTCGCAGAATGAATGCAGCTCGATTGGTGACCACTTGATGGCCCATCCATCCGGTTTTGCGGGTTCATGTTCTTCTCAGCACGCTCCGGAAGCTGAGCAAACTCCGGAAGGTGCCCAATGGTCGTTGGTCGGATCCAGCAGCACCGTTCCGATGTGCAGGTCCTAGACATCGCTTAGCTGCAAATTGGTAGCTCTTTGGTGCACAAAACGTGACGGACGTGATGAAAAAATACCAAACGTTTGTTTACTGCCAAACGGCAACAAAGGGAAGTCAAAGTTCGCTGCAACAGTCGAGAAACTCTTCTTTCCAAGATCCTTTACATGCAAAAGACAGTGACAGACAGGAAGCAGCAAAACAGCACGTCATGGCTTGCACGGCTCAACTACCGACTTTGTGCACTTGACTGGTGCACTGAGCCGACTGGGGAGAGACTGAATGAATTGCTGTTTCAGAGGTTAGGCTTTAGGGTTATCCTAGACAAAGCCCAGGCATCACGTACTATTTCAGGCCGATGGGATCTCTATCTGACATGAGAGAGAGAGAGAGCTGTGCCGCACGGCTTCGGCTCCACCAGCACGGCACGTGGAGCATCGACTCGGGTGAGCAGCTCGGAGCAATGGCTGAGCGACGAAGGAGCGAGGTGGTTGACCCACTTGAGCTGCAAGTTTGAAGCTTTCTGTGTCTCGTCTCAACATGTCTCAACCTTTGAAGCTGTCAGGTGTCCAGTGGCCAAGAAGATGGCAAGAGTAAAGGAAAGCGAAAAGGGGGGGAGTCTTTGTCAAGCCGTCTGAAGTCGTCTCAAGCCGTTAGGCATCAAGCTCCTCCAAACCGTCCACCGTAACCTGTGTCAACACGCTACTCGTAGGAAGCTGTCAGGCGTCACGGTTTTTGGAATGTGTCAGCCCGTCAAGCCTGACAGCTTTGGGGGGGGTCATGCCAGAAAGCTTGACAAAAAGTATGTATCTATATATATACACACAATTACACATATATTACATCATATTATATAGATCTAAAGACTTATTTAATATGCCTTTGTATATTTAGAAAAACACATGTTGAATCAACAATGCCTCAATCAACTCTTCAAAATTAACGAACCAACACTCTCGCTGCCGCTCGTCCTCGCCTCTTTCACGAAGGTCCCAATCCTCCCCGGCATGATCTGCCTGTGCTGAGGGAAGGTCAGGGGTCATCATCATCATCATCATCATCATCATGATCATCATCATCATCATGTCGTTAAAGACGCATTCAAACCTCCCTCAAGCCTAAGAGCGATGGCCTCATTGAAACCTCCTCCGGACCTTTCCTTCAGACTTTATATAAACATGTCCAGGTGGGTCGGGGACATTGGAGCAGCACCAAACAAAAGTGGGACGCGCGACTTTGTAACACCTGAGTGTGATGAGATGACACCTGAATGCACCAAAATAGCCGTGGGGACACCTAGAGACTAGAACAGTTGGGCCAGAAAAAGTCTACCGCTTGACGCTTGATAGCCAAAGTATGGCGGCTGACATACGGTTGGTGTTGTTATTTGTTTACATTCGTGGGACGACTTCATCAGGTTGTGTTTTGATTGTTTGTTTGATGTATTCGTTCTTCAGGTCGGGGCAATGTCCGAATTGCAGGGACCCAATCCTTTTTTGTTGGCTGCGGGCTTCACCCAAAGCATGTAGGGCTTCACCCAAAGGCCTCTTTCGTTTTGGTACGTACTGGCTGGATTGTTCGCTTGCCACATTCCGCGTGAGCTATGGGCGGGACATGAACTACAACACGTGTTTAAAAGAAGCCAAAGCCGAAACAAACAGCACGCCAGAGATTCCACACATTTTGTCCGAGTAACCATCCAGCAGCCTTGGCATCAACCATCGTTTCGAAGAAACTGCTTGGACTCGCCTGAGGGATCCTCCTCGAATTGGTGAAACATTGACTAAGGACCCTTTCTGAAATGTCCACCCATCCAAGCCCAAAAACATAGGTTGCAAGTTGGTTTAATCTGATCCTACTCTTATGCACCTGTGTTCTGGCAGCTGGCAGAAATCCGCCAAATTTGTTCGTTTGTTTCAGCGCTAAACAGGCTACACCAAGTTGGGAGTTCATAGATGACACGTGCCTCCCAGACAACCCCTAAATCCAAAATGGTGTTATTCAATGTTATTGAGCATGATCAATGATCACTACCAGTTTCTTTGTTTAGCCCAGCACTGTGAGGGGACGACCCCTTGGGTGAACCAGCCAATATCTGTGCACTGCGATCCTTGCTGCCGCCCTTCAAAACTTGAATGGTGCCAGGCGTTAAAAGGGGCGTGAGGGCGGCAGCTTTGTGGAGTGGTGAATCGAATTCAATCGGAAGCGTTTTCGCCTGTCATCTTCTGCTTTGCAAACTTTATACATGTTTCATTTGACACGCAAAGGTGCATGAAGGCGCACTGTCATGAACTGTTTCTTCCGGACGCTTCAGTGACTGCAGTGTGCTTTGAAATCCACCGGTCAACGCACAAATGTCGCACCGGGTCACTCCTTTGGCCACTGGGTTTTCGTTGAGAAGCGACCGGTGGAGCTGGTGTCCACCGACCGAGGGTTTCTGCGCTAAAAGGCATCGGACTGCGGTGGGCGCGTGAGTGGGTGGACTATGTTTGGGTAAACTCACTGGGTAGACCCTCTGGAGCAAATTGCTGAAGAGGAAATGCGGAGCAAACTGCTGTTGTCGCTCATGTTCCCACCTCTCCTGCTTACCTTTGGCTTACCCTTTGGTCGCTTACCGGGTCACGAGACGACGTCCCGACGTCCCGACGACGTCCGACTCGGTCCGCTCGATCCTCTCAGGTGGCAACGAGCTGAGTTCGGTGGATCCCAACTTGACGCAGCTGGAAGCCTTGGAAGAATTGGACCTTTCAGGTGCCTTGGAGCGATCCACCGAGAAAGCGTGTGGGTGGTGGGTGGTGGGTGGTGGGTGGTGGGTGGTGGGTGGTGGGTGGTGGGTGTGTGTTGATGGCGAAGATGGGGTGAGCTATTGGTCAATGGAAGTGGCCATCGCCAGAGGCATTTGGGAAGATGGTTCGCGAAAAGTCTCACATCCTGCAAACCCACGAAGATTCACATGGTTTTCGCAGGAAGATCGACTTTGCAAGTCGAGGGATTCTCCACAGGACGTCCTTGTCCCAGTGCAACGAATCATTGGAAACGCCGCAGGGACAGGTTTGTCTTGACCGCAAGAGAAAATCCCATTCGATCTCACCAATACACATGTCCAGAAGTGGATTGATGGCAAAGTAAATGTCCGACAAAGAATATCACATGTTTTTGGGTGAGCAAAAGACTTAATCATGCTTCCATGATGATTGCTACGATCCAACCGCCTCCGAGGCAACAAGTTGGAGTCCTTGCCCTCGCAGGTGGCCCCCTGGCCATCGCCCAAATGGGCGGTGGGCTCCAGCCCACGGCGGGTGGGAGGGAGCCCAGGTCATGTGGCTTAGGATAATATATGTGGCCAGTTATGTGGTCTTTTGCAGTTATGGGGTGATTTTTGTGGCTTGCTTGGTGAGCAATGAGTGATTAACTGTCTCCTTCTTGAGGAGTGTTTTCCCCAACCAAGCGCAAGAGATGCATAGGTTTCATGCTCAAGAGAGTCAAGAGATGGACATGTAGTCAGTGGAGTCCTCAGGCAGGATTTCCTCAGATCACTACTTCACCCCTTTTGCAACCGCTTCACCACTGAGATATCTGGTTACCAACGTCCCCAGTGTTCAAAACCATAATAGATGTTTGCCATGACCAAGTGGGATGGAGACCAATATTATTATTGCGACTCCCACTCTATCGATTTTGTCTTTCGATGCTGATGAGGCATTTCAAACACAACCTAGACCCCTAACGGTTACCTAACGAGATATCACTATGTGTTCAATGAATGTAGATGTGATGAAGAACCTACAGCAGCTTAGATAGAAGACCTCCTTCCCTTTCACCGAGCGTGTTTCGTTTCGGCCACACCGAATGCAGCTCGGTCGCAGTAAGGTCGCCACGTTGCGGAGCCTTCGCTCGTTGGTCCTGGACGGGAATCCCTGTGCAGCTGCGCTCTCTCCTGCACAGCTGAGGTGAAGATGAGAGAGTGCAGAGGATCAGACATGGCCTCCAACCTAAGATCGATGGCCTCCAGCCTAATAGCGTCGTTGCTCCTAGTAGCGATGCCCTTTGTTCCTATCCTTGCTACCAGTAGTGATGGCCTCCGGCCTAGAAGCCATGGCCTCCAACGAACAGCAAACTATATATTGCTACAAGTGCAGAGAGAGGGGATGTTGGGGAGGATGCTGGGGAGAGGATGGCGTTTCAACTGACGGGGACGATGCCTTCGTTTGGGTCTGAACTTTGAGGCTTCAGCCACGCTACGTCCGAGACCTAGGCCTTTTTGGAAACCCCACCTGCAGCTCTGACCAGTCCACAATGGGTTCCAGTGGCACTGTCTAAAGAATGCATGGATTCCCAACCACTGGGGGCTGCCCCATGACGGCGAAGTAGAAGAGGAGACACGGTCTTGCCGATGACTATCTCGGACGTGGCAGCCCAACATGTCCTTCCCAGTTCCTTCTCCCAAAGGCTCATGAAGCTTTTGGCGGTTGCTCAAGAAGAACCTGTGCCGAGCGGTGAACAAGACTGGAACTTATCCATCACAAAGCTCTAAGCTCCTCCCCCGTGCCGGTCGTGCGCTACCAGGCAACTGGCGCGGCCGGGGCGTGTCCCAGGGCAAACGCCGGCACAGGTCATCTCCGGTCGCTAGGCAGAAGAGAGGTCAATCCGGCGATTTGAGTGTGAAGAGATGCTCTCAACCCAGTATAGCCTATCTCTATTGAAATGAGCAATTGTTTGATAGGTCTCTCCTATCCATTCCGATCTCTATTCTCGGCCCTTCTTTTGTGAGAGTTCATTGTTTCCTTGAGCTCTGAGCTAGTGTTCTCATCCTTCGCTCAACCTGAGGCTACTTGAACCCATCACCGGCGCCGCCGGCGCACGATGCGCGCCCCACGCCCAGCTTCACCGGCGCCTCGCCCAGCTTCGTCGCCGACTTCGAGGACGATGCGCCGCTGCCCTCGCCTCCGCCGCCGCCACAGGAGATGTGGGGGGCGACACACCGGTGGATGGGCTTTAAAAGGGATTGTCCTTCCGTATTTCAAGGGTGGAGCCCGTGTACGTCGTTGTGACTTATTACATCCCAAATTGACCCAGGTAGGAGTGGATGCTCCCCTGTTCTTTGTGGTGCCTTTTCTTGGAATCATCATAGCCATGTCAAGAAGAACCAATGCTTTGGTGAGAACGTTTGTGACTAACTTGACTAGCGGAATGTCCTTTCAGCCAGATAAACTCTCACAGAATGCAAGCTATCAAACAAAACAATGTTTCATTAGACTGGATTTACACCACAACATAAGCTTGCAACTGTATAGCGATATGTTACATGTTCTAACAAAACAGGGCCTGTCCAAGTCTGAAACGACTCTAAATCAGAAGCTACTCAGAGAGGGGACCTTGTCTTCTGCTGTTGCCATGGCATGTTGAAGTGAGAAAGAACTATAGTAACAAGGACGCCATTAGGTGGAGGCCATCGCAAGTAGCTTGGAGGCCATCGCTACTAGTAACAAGAAGCTAACAAGGAAGCTACGAACGGGGCTCCTGGCATCGCTACGAACGTAACAAGGAAAGAGCACCACAAGAACGCCGTAGAACGCCATGCCAGGACCGGAACACGGAGGCGCAGCATGTCAGTGCCCAAAGTCGGAAACAAGAGGTGGACGCGTTGAGTTTAAAAGTTGAACGCGTTGTGTTCACTTTGGCTGTAATTTCTTTTGTTTGGGTTCAATACTGTTCAATATATAGTGTGGTTCAATGGTATGTATGTTGTTTTTTTGTTGAGGAAATCGAAAGAGGTGTCCATTGCCGGTACTTGTTGTTTGGTCTCAATGGGTGCTGGGTGTATACCGATCAAACAAGATTGACAAGCATCTTGGGTCACTTCACCCATGGTCAATTGTGTAATACAAGCATGTGCAGCATGTTCCCTGATGACCAAGTGCGACAGATGTTGGGTGTACCCTGAACTTTTCCAGTGGTATAAGTTGGTGAATTCTTCTATTGTACCTGAAAAGATTCTAGAGATTCGATGGTCAATTACAAGTCTACAACCTTTGAATTCCGTTGGTTAGAGCCCCTGGTAGTGCTCTTCTCTAGCCACGCCAGGTGCAGCAGCTGCGGGCACGCGTGGCCGAACTCGAGCGTGCCGCTGTGTCCACGGATGGTTCCGCGCTTCGTGCGACCGAAGGAGCCGCCTCAGGCGAGGGCCTCAAGAGTGACGAGAGGGACAGAAAGCAGCCGAAAGATTGGCCAGAAAAGGATTGGCATTGGTTTGCCTAGGGAACAATGTTCGCTACTAGGGGCTCCTGGCATCGCTACTAGGAGCA